GCCTGAGCCACCAGCGCCCTGCCTTGTTTTTTTTTTAAGGTGGTACAGGGGTTTGAATTTAGAGTCTCGAGTTTGCTAGGAAGGTACTGTGCCACCTGAATCACACGTTCAACCCTCAATCATTCTTTTCTAGCTCTCGCTTGATTTAAATTTTGGTCTAAAATTTCTAGTTTCCTATTTGAACCCTGGAAAACAAGAGCTCATCCTTTTAACCAATCCTGTCTTGAACATTTAATCCTAGCTACTCTGGAAAGGCTGAGATCTGAGGATTGTGGTTCCAAACCAGCCCAGACAGGAAAGTTCACGAAACTTTCAAAGACCCACCAAAAAGTCGAAAGTAGAGCTGTGGCTCAAGTGATAGAGTCTTGAGTGAAAAAGCTAAGCAAGAGCACAAGGCCCTGAGTTCAAGCCCCAGTTCCCGCACACATTCAAAAAAATATTTCTGAGCCAGGCAACAGTGGCTCACACCTGTAATCCTAGCTACTTAGGAGGCCGAAATCTTAGGATCGTGGTTCAGAGCCAGCCCGGGCAGGAAAGTCCATGAGGCTCTGACCTCCAACGAACTATTCAGAAAAAGCTGGAAGTGGTGCTGTGGTTCAAGTGGTAGAGTGTTAGCCTTGAGCTGAGGAGCTGAGGGACAGCGCCCAGGCCCAGAGTTCAAGTCCCACAACTGACCAAAAAAAAAAAATCTGTTACACACACCACAACAAATAGTTTACCTTTACTCATGTCACTTCACCCATGTAGAACAAATATGGCCAGTTACTAAATGGCTTGAAAACAAAACATCAAGGATGCATAGAAGCAATATCTCTAGCACAGTTGCAATCTATGATGTAATTGCAAACAGACATCATTACCCAAAATACTATTCCTAACAGGTATAATACATTTCAGGTTTTTTTTTTTTTTTTTAATGCCAGTCCTGGGATTTGAACTCAGGCCCTGGCTCTGTCGTTGAGCTTCTTTTACTCAAGGCTAGCTCTACCACTTCATTTCTTGCTTTTTGGTCTTTATTGGAGATAAATATATTTTCCTGTCCAGGCTGGCTTTGAATCACAATCCACAGATTTCAGCCTCCGGAGTGGCTAGGGTTACAATTATGAGCCACCTGTGCCTGGCTTAATATTTCAGATTTATAGAAAAGTTGGAAAGATCAATATTGAGAATTTGGTCTCTCATCCTAATTGCCCAAACAGTAACATTTTTATCCTGCTTCTTTTCAACTTACCCATTTCTCTCTTGCTGAGTCAATTGGAAGGAAGTTCTAAAAACATGACTTTCTTTTACACCATATAGTAGAAAGTGTATTTCCTAAGAGCAAGGAAGGATATTCACTTGTATTATTGAAATTAGGAACTATTTAAAATTTTTGTTTCTTTTTGTTTCTTCTTTTTATGGTACCAAGGAATCGAACCCTCATGCATGCATCCCAGGCAAGCACTCTACCACTAAGCCATATTCCCAGCCCAAAATTAAGAATTTAACATGGATTCAAGACCTGTGTGAAAGCATACACATTTAGTCCTTGTACTCATGAGATTTAGGCAGGAAGGTTTTGACTTCAAGGCCAGCTATTCTGGAGGCTAAGATTAAGAACATCCTCGTTTGAGGTATAGGCAAAATGGTTTTGAGACTCTGCCTTAGC